CATGTGCAAACATTGATTTGGGTGTGTGTTTGCAGTTTCAGTACTTTGCTTTGTATGAGTAAGCAACCCAAGTAAAATGCAGCCAAGAAATCTTAATATACCAGACATTTAAATCAAAGATTACTGCATTTACTCTACAAGATCAAGTTCAATAGTAGCTTATTAGTGTTATTTGGTTGGATGTTTTTAAATATATATATTATTGATCGCTTTTTACTTTTGAACATTTCCTTAAATCTTCTTTTGACTGGCTGATAACTAGCATTAAATTTTAAGCTTTGGGTCTACAAAAACATTTCTTCTAATTAAGAACCACTTGCATTCTGGTGTAAACATGGAGAATAATCAGTGATCTTAATTTTAAGTCCTTTGTATATATTCATAGTTCTTATGTAAAATACACTGATATTTTGCATCTGAAAGTGAACTGTTGGCAATAGGGATATACCATATTTACCTGAATCTAAGACAGCTGTGAATTTAAGATGATTCCCCAATAATTAAATTCTATACATGGAAAATTATAAATGTATTATTATATCTTTTTCTGAAAAGAATCTAATTATAGTGGAAACTTGCCTTAAATTCATCCCCCACTATTGCTGTGGTGAGGAAAGAAGTGGCAGAAGGTGAGGGGCAAGATCCCTGCCCCTTGTCTCTTCTGTGCCTACCTCACTGTAGCCTGCCCCCCAACTCTTTGCCTTCTATGTCTGTGCCCTCTACTCCCTGCCCCCTCCATGCCTGCCACTTATACACTCCCTGCTTCCCTTCCTCTTATCACATATGTTCTGCTGCAGCTCTACAGCCCCAGCCCTGCCCAGGCAGGAAGAAGTGGTGGCAGTGCTGGGCTGGGCTGGGGCTGGAGGGACCAGAGGCAGATCAGAAGGTTAGTGGGCTAGGGGGCAGGCTGTATGGTGTACCCTGCACTCCCCCTGAGTCGCACATGCGGGTCTTCACCTTTTTTCCTCCTCCCCCACCTTGCAGTCTCCCCCTCACTCTCCCAGCTGTGAACTCCGCCCCTGCCAAAGGAGCCATCCCAGCCTGGGGTAAGTGCAGATCATCTCTGGCTTGATCCCTGAGCTGGGGGCTGAAGTTGGAACTGAGCCGCTGCCTGTCCTGGGTCACTACTCGAATCAAAGACAAGGCTTCTTTCCTGCCACATTGACTGAGTGGGGAGAGATGGGGGAGGAGAAGCCTTTTCTTGGATTTTGAGTAAATATATAGTAATATGAAAACACTGATTTAGTACAAAGAATTTATAGCCTGCTTTTTCAGTGGTTTAAATTGGCTTCAGTGTCTCACTAATATTGGGCATACATAATTAATTGCCAAGTTAAATAATCACCTTTAAGATGGGAGTACCAATAGAAATATTTAGTGGCTTAATTCCTTTAACAATTCTTCTTTGATTTTTTTTTTTTTTTTATTGCCTTAGTTTTAGTTTGAAGCAGGCTTCAATTTGGATCATTTTGAGGAGGAGCTAGCTTTACTAGAGGTGCACCAATACATCGGTTCAATATTGGATCGGCACCGATATAAAGAAAATTGATTATATCGGAAATCAGCCTGATGCGATTAATAATTTGGCCAATAAATGCCTGTGCATGCATGCACGCAGACGCAGCACAGCACACAGGCAGCAAGGAGCACAGCCCAGCAGCTTGGAGAGCTGCATGCAGCTGGTAAGTCTCTTGTGGTAGAAGGGGAGAGGGGAGGGAAGGTATAGCGGGGCAGATCAGTGCCCCCCATGGTAAGGGAGGTAGTGGGGCTAGGGTAGGTGCTGCCCAGCTGGGGTGGCGTGGGATGCGGGATGGAGCCATGGCTCATCCAGGCGCTGTGGGGAGGGAGTGTATCTCCCCCTGCTATGCGCACCCTGGGAAGACATGGTGGGGAGGGACACATGCATCCAGATCTGCACAGGGCGGGCTGCAGCTGCAGGCTGGGGCAGGGGTTGTACTAGTCTCTTTCTGGCAGAGAGGGCTGGGCCATTCTGCACTCGAAGCAGGTGGCAGCAGTGCTGAGAGAGCTATGGAGGGTCTACAGCAAAATTTGGGGTGGCTGCAGCCCCTCCTGCAGTCCCCCTTGTAGTGCTGCCACCCACCCTGAGCTCAGTGCAACCTAGCCCCTACCAGGAAGAGCTCACCACAGCCCCCAGCCCACATCTGCAGCCCACCGTGCCCTGCCCTGTGCAGATTTGCCCCTCCCCCACCCCCATGCCCTCCCTGGGTGCACACAGCAGCGGAAGCCGGTTCCCCTCCCTGCACCCCCTGGACGAGCCACAGCTTTGCCCCACCCTGGCTGGACAGCACCTACCCCAGCCCCAGCTCCATTCCCCTCCCCCCACCACCGCAGGGATCATTGATCTGCACCCCCACTCCCTTCTCTCCCCCTTCCCCTTCAGCCACAACAGATTTACCAGCTGGAAATTGGATCAGTATCGGCCGACATGCCTCCTTAATAATCAGCTATTGGTATCAGCCTCCAAAATCTCAATCAGTGCACCCCTAAGCTTTGTTTAAATTCATGGTATAGAAAGTGCTAATGACTCAGTTTTAGTTTCTTTTCCGAGTTCAGCTGAGAGTTGAATGGTCCTCATTTCCTCTCAAGTTCATTTTAAAAGTTGTTTCCTACGCTGTTTGTGTACAGTCTCTTCAGTACTTGACAAAATGCATCTTAAGCAAAACAGCAGGGACAGGTCTGCCAGCTGTTCCCTTTTACATCTTCTGTATGATTTATGGTAGAATCGGGATTTGTTTTGACCATATCTTCCAGTAAGTTACAAGTTTATTAATATTAATGGTGAGAAATCAAATCTTGCTTAGCATTCAGAGCTAGCAGTCAGAGGATTGATGCAGGTAATTTTGCAATATAATGTAAAATCCTCAATCTGTGTGCTCCCCTGCTTTTCAAAAAAGCATTGGGAAAAGTAGATACTTTGGAAATTGGATCTTCACAGGAGACATAAGCATAAATGAGCATCTCTGCTGTCATAGACCTTGAAGAAAGAAATGAGGGGTTGTTCTAAATAATCTCAAATGCCCAAAAGAGTAATTTGACATTTACTAAGATTACGTCAGACTACGCTTTTGTTCATGTTGCTTGTGTCCTAAGTTGTTTTTCCTAAAACATTAGTATTCTGCACCTACAACTGTAATGTTAACACTCCTTACAATGTCTAAATATTCTGCTACTGTTAACTCTGGGACAAAAAGCAATCTTGATATAACATGTATACCTAGCATGATCGCAAATAATTGTATGGTCAAACAGATCAAAATAAACCTTACAGTGGAGCAAGAACAGCAGAGAGCTGAGGCCAATATGAAAGAAAATGGGAAGTAGTAATCAGCTGTTTAAAAATTAGGGTTGCGCACACAATATTGCTAACTGTCTTACTCTGCACTATTAAAGTGTAAAGTGGCATGTCTACAAAACTAATCTGACTATTATCAAACTTTGTGACAAGTGCCTAGAAAATGGAAAGAAGAAATATTTTGCATCAGTAACAAGAAGGAAGTCTCTCTTGCATGTAATACCACCACTGAAAATCTGTGGGGAAATATCACAAAGCTTTTCAATGCAGAATCATCACAGACAATATCAGAGAAAACGTTAATGTTTTTTTTTCCCCCCATTTGGTTGACTTTGATCTTCAGAAATTTAGTATTTTTTTCTTTTTGATGCATAATTAATACGTAGCTCACAAATCCAAAACTGTGATTTCAGTTATGCCCTCAAGACACAGTCGGCCTTAGATTGCAGGAAAATTAACTAAAATAGTTCAAAAATTAATAATAAATCTGTTAAATTATTTACATATTAAAGTCATTTCATCTTTTTGGTTACCAACTAAGCACAGGCATAATTCTTATTTATAGTTGGGACAAATACCCAAGAATACCCCAGGCAAAATTAATATCCAGAACCTGATTTTATTTTGACGATACAGGTGAATTTGTAAAACGCTATTGAGAGAGCCTCCAGTAGGTTCTACTTCTTAGGAAAATGAAAGCATCATTGTACAGCATGCTGGTATTGTTAAGACTCTGCTTCAATAAATATGTCCACGTCAACCTAGTATGATTTCATTTTATAAACCTTACAGGAGCACCTCCTTCAACAAACAGTTATATCAGTATCTCATTATGTTATCTGTGCTTTTAAACCACAGTGCATAGTCCATGACTCACAATATGAAATGCGATACTGGAAAGAAAAAAATTTAATTGAAGAATGAACAGTGCTGCTGTTCAAAAGAGTAACTTTTTGTATGATCTATCTTCACTTTTTAGGATTCTCCATCTGCTTCCAAGACGAGCTTCCCTGAAAATGAGTCATCTCCTTCTTCACCAAAGCACCAAGCCACCGTCAGTATTGAAGTTATTTCACAATATATACTGTAATGACTGGGCAGCTAGTGAACAAAATAGTTTGAGAGCAAGTCATGGGGTTTAAGTCTTGCCAGCCTCTGGCCTAAAGAAGTCAGAGATCTGGGTTGCAGGCCCTCTGTCTGAGGCAGCTTCATACCTAGGTCTCCCATCTCCCAGGAGAGTGCTGTAACCATTAGGACTATAGGCTAGGTTTTGGATGGGTGGAGTTTCCACTCCTCTTGCAGCTGATCTACTGTTTAGAAAGGAATACAAAACTAATGAGGAAGAGGAAGCAGTAGGGAACCTCTCTTCAGTAATTAAGACAGACACATGCACACATTCCTGCTCTGGGTGAGGGAAGATCTGGAGCCTGGCCTCTGTTCTACAGATTATTTATATATTTTTACATTTGAAAGTTATCCAGCAAATATTGGGATCTGAGACTGAAACCCAGGACTCATCTAAAAAAGGTCTAGGGATGCCTATTAGACTAGGCCTTAAGGGGTTTTGGTATGAAGATGCCCAGTTTGTGAATCCTAAATTGTACCGAGCTACTCAGCGTTTTGAAGATAATGTTGTATGTATACAGTCGCAGAACTTTGTGTTTCAAGATTTCTGGAAAAAAACTAGTGTATTTGGTCTCTCGATGTTCAAATAACTAGGGTTTTTATAGATGATGATGATGATGATGATGATGATGATGATGATGATGATGATGATGATGATGATGATGATGATGATGATGATGATGATGATGATGATGATGATGATGATGATGATGATGATGATGATGATGATGATGATGATGATGATGATGATGATGATGATGATGATGATTATTATTATTTAACCTGGACTAAGGTGCCTAGATTTTGCATTCTGGTCACTAATACTTTTTTTTTTTTTGGTGATCTGGTCCCTAGTGTGAGTGAGGAACATCCCTTCTGCTGTAGTATTTTTAAGCACGGGAAGTATAACTCATTTTTTATGCTTACCAATGGAACATCAATTTTCTCATCTTTCTGGTCTATTAATAGATATTGGTTTTAGGTGAAATTTTAAATAATTTGTGAAACAATATAAATTTTAGTTCTGGAATGTGAAAAACATTGAAGTGTTCCTTAAAAAAAAAAATCCATATATTATAACATTAGGAATTGTTGATACATGATTTTAATGATCTATTGGTATTTGTTTTGGGAGCATGAAGGCACCATTTTTTATCATCTTTCACAATGCACCAGTGTGTAGATTGAAAACCCTACTATTCATTTACAGTAATCTATTCTATGCTGCTTATTTTATGAATTTTTAGATTACTGTGAATATAGGCAGATTTTCCTTAGTGTATTTCCTAAGTTTCTCTCAACAAGTAAATCTTCTGTCTTTGTGCACAAGCAAATACTGCTGCTTATTTTACTTCAGATGTTTTAAATATGGCACAGTTTTTGAGGTATTATAATTATCCTTAGTAAATAATGCACTACTT